TGTGCTACGCAAATATCACCTGGATCGAGTTTAAAGAACTTTTCATCCAGCGTTTTGACACTATAGAAACACCAGCTGCCGTGTTTCTAAACATGTTGTCAAGTCGACCGGCTGACGGCGAGAATCTTGCAGTTCACGCAAGCCGCATGGTTACAGAACTATCGACGAAATGGCGCCAAATGGAAACAGAAGAAATCGCCGTGTCTGTGACTCTTGCGTTGCTGGCAAGTTTTGATGCTCGCCTGCAGCGTTTAAGCTTCACATCAAATATTCGAACCAGAAGCGAGTTGCAGTCCGAACTGAAGGCGTTCACTTTTGCTAAAAGAAGAGGTGGACCTATGGAGCAACAAACTGACATTCATCCAAAAAGACAAAAACAATCATCGATAGAGTGCCATTTTTGCGGCAAACTGGGCCATAAAATGATTGATTGTCGACTCAGGACGCAACGAGACCCGTTTACAGATGGCAAGGAACGACATGGCAGGCAAGACGTCCATCATCTTGAGAAATCAAGTGTAACTTGCTACAAGTGCGGAGAGTTGGGTCACATATCCACTCAGTGTACAAGGAAGGAAGCTGACAAGAACATAACATTCAACCGGGAAAAACGAGTGGAACAGTGTAGGTTGCAGTACCCAAGGGATATCTGGACCATAGAGGACAAGTTTTCGAAATAACCTTCGATTCTGGTGCGGAGTGCTCACTGACGAAAGAAAAGATAAGTAAAAAAATTTTCTGGTAAACGATTTACGAATATTGTTATGTTAAAAGGCATAGGCAACAGTTCAAATGCAAAGCGAAATTGTTATTGGGCGAGAAATACTAAATCAGGGTTTTGATATTGTCGTCTCATCAAATCAATTTAAGATCGTAAGAACTAAAATAGTTAATTTATGTACCGGCAATGAGTTAACCGAAATGGATACTGAACTTGAGGGGACAGATAAAATAAAGTTGCAGTCACTGTTGACAAACTACTCAGATTCTTTTATAACAGGAGACCATATCGACTGAGTCCATGTGAAAGAGAATTAGTTCGAAATAAAGTCGAAGAACTACTGCGTGCAACATAATTAGACCCAGCTGTTCACCTTATGCTAGCCCCATATTATTGGTAAAAAAAAAAAAAAAAAAAAAAAAAAAAAAAAAAAAAAAAAAAAAATGGTTCGGATAGGCTCTGTGTTGATTATAGACAATTAAACTCAAACACTGTGGCTGATAGATACCCGTTTCCACTTATAAACGATCAAATAAATAGACTTCAAGGAGTTTATTATTTTACATGTTTGGATATGGCTAGCGGATACTATCAAATTCCCTTACATGCAGATTCTATTGAGTATGCCGCGTTGTGACACCAGATGGACAGTACGAATTTTTATCTATGCCATTCGGACTTCGAAACGAACCTTCTGTCTTTCAACGATTAGTTATACAGGCTTTAGGAGATCTGGCAAACACATTGTGTTAAATGTTCCTACGGAGGCTGGATTATCATTACAAAGTGTTTCTTCTTAAAGTCATCTGTCCAATTTTTGGATTACGATATTAGTGCTGTCGGTCTCTGCTTTAAGACAATTTATTGGATTGGCGTCATATTTTCGGAAATTTATGTAAGGGTCTTAGGATGCATTGGATGAGATTGCTCGACCGTTGGGGTTGCTTTCACTATGCGACATGACACAAGAGGTTGATTTGGCAGAATCAAGAGCTTGAGCGGTGCAAAATATATCAGCAGCGGCAGCATATACTAAGCGCACTTTGATAAAACCAAGGCTAAGGTTGTTGGATACAAAGTAGGAGATTTTGTGTTGTTGAAGAGTGAAGAAAGGCATCAAACAAAGTTAAGCCCAAAGTTTAGAGGACCGTTGCAAATAGCTGAATTGTTAGACGGAGATAGATATATCCTTAGATCATTGACAAATAACAGAAAGTACAAGTATGCTCACGAAGAGATACGAAAATTACCAGAGGAGTATGTATCAGTTGAACTAGAAAGTAGTGAAGAGGCTTTAAATGATAATGAAAAAGAAACTGTTGAAAGAGACAGTATTGATATAAAAGAAACTGTTGAAAGAGACAGTAATGGAATGATTGGAAAAGAATCTGTTGAAAGAGACAGTAATGGAATGATTGGAAAAGAATCTGTTGAAAGAGACAGTAATGGAATGATTGGAAAAGAATCTGTTGAAAGAGACAGTAATGGAATGATTGGAAAAGAATCTGTTGAAAGAGACAGTAATGGAATGATTGAAAAAGAAACTGTTGAAAGAGACAGTAATGGAATGATCGAAACTGTTGAAAGAGACAGTATGGATGCCTGAAAGGCTAGTTATAAAACTTAAAGAATGTCATAATGCAAGCACAAGTGCAAAACAAATGTTTTGATCATGGCGTGTGGCGCATAAGATGATGAAAATCGAAACCAGTTGGGTTTATGGTAATAAATAAATAAATAAATAAAAATTAAAAAAAAAAAAGAAGAAAAAAAAAAATCAAGAAAGTTAAATTAATTTAAAGAAGAATTTTATAAATTTAAGAATGATACAAAGAGATGAAATTAAAATTCTGGAAGAAAGTAAAAGTTGAAGCTAAAATGATGTAGTTGTAATTAGTAAAGTTGTAGGGAAAATGTTAATGTTAAATTCTATTCGATAATTTATGAACAAAACGATTTCTGCAGTAAAACATTTTTGGGGAATTACACGAGGTCGTGTTATGGTCAGGATGGCCGTGTCGGAGAGTAGGTAGTAGAAATGTATAGGCGCCTTGCCGGCGCGTGCTGGTAATATGTTTGAAGGTCACACTTCATATATATTGGTGCGTCTTCGAGCATTTTCGTAGAAACATAACTGCAACATTATGTGATTGGTTGCCTAAGTTTTGTAGTTTGGTAAAGTCCCGTTTTAGCGGGGCGACAGCGTTCTGTCGCTGTCGCCGAGTGTGGTTCGGTGGAAGACACGCACAAGAATTGTGCGTCTCGAGTCAGTCTTTGTTAAAACTCGAGTGCGACCGAAACTCACTGCGCTAACGCAATGGAAAGTAACACTAATCCGACATATACATAATATTCTTGTCTAACTCTAACTTCGTTTTCAATCCACTTAAATGACAACTTCTGTCAAATATTAAATATTTCCACTGTAAACGGTTCATCCTTGAACCTTTCACTAATATAGTCAATCTGCAAGCTCAATCCGTTAGCTAATTATATGGTTGTGCAGGTATTGCATGTTTGCATGACTATTCTACGCGGTATCTCATAGTCGCGCCCAGTTAAATACTACAAAAACTGTGTTCTACTATAAATACAAATAATATGTATACTAAATTAATTAGTAATTAATAATAGTTAAAGCAATTACAGAAAGAGTTCACAGCTAGAAACAGGAAATGTAATATAAATATAAAATTAATGTAGCGAAAATCTGTCTGACATTGATTTGACCTTTATTTTAATATAAAATTAAAATATCTTTGATTGTTTTTCTCTGTGCTCTTCTCTCTCTTTCTCTATCTTTCACTCTGTCTCTCTTTCACGCGCTTGCTCTGTCTCTTTCTGTCACCATTTCCCTCTACATTTTTCTCTCCCTTTCTCAAGCTCGATTTGATGCAATTTCACGTCTAATCAGCACAATCGCTAAGGGATCAAGTTTTTTAACACAGCTCAGATAACAAATTCGTTGCGCACAAGAAAAGTTGAATACCTCCCACAATGCCACCAAAAAACACTCTTTGTGTATTAGAAGAACTTTAATGCTCTGCTAGAGCAAAAGGCTTTCCATGAAGCAATTTTAAGTCTCTTTGAATGCACTTAAGGACAATTTATAATATCATATTTAACAATTTCTATTTTATTTGAACATTTGAGATACAGAAGAAAATCTTAGATTTTATTAAAGATAATATTAAAAGCTTAAGGAATATTTTCACAAACAAATTCAGGGCATTTATTTATATTTGTATTAAGTAACTTGTTATCAGTTGCATGTGAAAGTTTCGTAACAAATACTTTTTGCATTGTTTCTTATAAATATTTAAAGCCATTGAAACATTGAACTTGATAATGCAATTTTTGAATTGTCATTGCATTTAATTTATTCCTAATATTACGTGAGCAGGGCAACGTGTTGAGTGCTTGACCCAGTGAGCTCTAATAATAATCTCTAGTGAGTTAACTGGACTGCCTAGACTCATGCACACACAGAGAGTTATACACCCACGTTCTCTGACAAAACATTGCGCATTTGAGCATTAAGCTGTAACCCGTATGCACTAAGTGACAGCCAAAGACAAAGCAATCAAGGCAATGTGTGTGGGTGTGGGTGTGTGTGTGTGTGCGTGCTGCACTATTATAAATATTCAAATCTACAATTGATGACATCGCTGTCAGACGGAACAAATTCGAATCAATAGTTGGCTAAGCAATCAAACATATTGAAAGCATTTCAATTGTCTTTTCATTTGCAACTTTGACACTGCAATAACATTTGGCTTGACTCGTGCATACCCATTCATGTTGGACATTTGCATATTTAGTTAAGTACGGTCGCAGTCTCGGCTCGGTAGCAATAAGAGAAAAGTGCAGAAAAATCAAGCTTTATTAAAAACAAATTCGCTCATTCCTCACGCATTTCCTTTGTTTGTCCTGCCCAAATGCACTTGACTTTTTTATAACATGGGACTCTTGCCTTATCTGAAATTCTTTTCTGCTTTTTGGCGTGTTTGCTGTGTCGCTAAACAAGCAACCGAAATGAAAGTTGTCTGCTTGTCGGTGCCGTTTTGAGTACAAATAAAACTTTGCCTCTGTATTATTTTTTTCTTTTCCATTTCTTTTTTTTTCTTTTCTGCTTTATGGGTTAGCCGAAAAGTTGACTGGAAATTGAATTTGTGTGAATGTAATGAATACACTCTGTGCTGGGGCATCCCAAATATGTCGAACTTATTAGCAAGTACACTCTTTTAGTTGAAGTTCCTTTTGGAATTCGTTTACCCACCTGCAGACAATTGATTTAATTTGAAGCTTGAGGTTAAGTTGTTGCCTGTTTAACTTGCACTTCAAGTTTAAAGCCTGGCCCCGGCAGTTCAACAAAAGTAAAAGCCAAAAAGTTTTCTTTGCTTAACCGACGCGTCGCGTTGCGTCTCTTTGAAATGTCAACTAAAACGGAACCGCAAACACAACCAAAGACCGTAACGTTGCGGATCCGCACTCGAGCACGCACCGGCACTTGCTCTGGTCTTGAATTTGTATTTGCAGTGATTTGACTATTCGCGTTCTGCTGTTACGCACACAAATCGCACAAATCTCGCGCGACTCTTTGCACCTTGCGCCTAGGCAGACTGCCGCAAATACGCGTCAAATGTTCTGTTTATCTGAATAGACTTATGAGATTTGTAGTTTATTTATATATTTATCTCACATGCGCCGCTTCGCGTCCAGCGCCAACGAGGAAACACAAGCAACTGACGACAGCCTCGAGCTCGAACCGACTCGTCGTTGGCATCGTTCGCACTTTCTGTTCTGTCATACGCCGTGTGTGACGACGACAACGACAACGACGACGACGACGTCACGACGCCGCCGCAGCAGCAACGCTCACGCCGGCGTTCCCGTTAGCCAACAGGTTATCTGCTGATAAGCGCTCGACTCCGCACGAATCGTCCACAGCCATCGGCACAAACGATGCAATTCCCTGCCACTGGCCCGAACAGCTCCGCCACCCCGATGCCCGCTCAACTGCACCACGAAAAAACATCGCCGAGTGAAAATCGAGTTGAGCTGCCAAATGTTGAGTGAGTTTTTCCTCTTCGCGCTGAGTTGAGTTCCTATTGCGCTATTGAAGTCTTGTGATTCTTGCTGACAAATATTTCCAGGCAAATATTGTGACACCATTGAAGGCTATTAGGAAAGGAAAAAGGTTAAATAATTTTATTTACAACTCGCTGAAAAAGCGAACATTTATACAAACTGTAAAATTTGTGATATGCTTGAGATGGCAGCAAACACAATATTCATTATAAAATTAATAAGTGAAAAGGCCCGAAATACTCACAATCCTTTTGACTTACTTCGCGAAAATTTTAATTTGATATTCTTGAATCCTTTCGACTGCTGATAATATCATTAATGATCTTTTGACAATATTCATGTAAATCATTTTCAATTTTAACGTGCTTTAAATATATATTTAAACAACTTAAAGCTTCAGCTTCTTGTAATAAATTTGATTAAGATGCAAAATTTAAAAAAGTTTATTGCGTTTTATTAGCCGCAAAAATGTTTTGCCCAAGCTTGTTTTGCTAGTTATATTACAGTGCCCATAAAGATATTTATATGCTTAAGATTTCACGTACTAGATGTCAAACAAGTGTTATCTCAGACAGTAAACAGTTGTCCATTATAATTTCCTAACAATTCTTGAATAGCATTCTGACGTCTATTTGAACAACATTCAGTGATGCGAACTCAAGTGATTTGGCTAATCTCATTTAACACATTATTATATTATATGTATTGTATATATATATATATATATAAATATATATATGTGTATAGCTTGATCCAATCTGCGCTATTAGCCTGCTCAGTTATTCATCTGATGCTTAACACATGCTGCATGCCGCGAGCTCCTTTCGCCAGTTGCTTACTTAATTTCTGTTATCTTCTTAGCGCGTTCCACAGCAAAACACCAGGCATCGAGGGTATATATTGTCAAGAGGCCCACGGCTGCGACTGTTGTCAAGTGATGCAGCTGCGATTTATTTATTAAGGCCTGTCGACTTGCTGGTGCTTTCTCTTCCCAGCTTCCCAGCTTGCCAGCTTGCCAGCTTCCCAGCAACTCCACTTGAGCTCGTTTTCAACCGCTGCGCGTATTCTCTTAGGCGCGATGCGGGTGGGTTCTTTGGCAAACGTGCACGTTTCCTCACTTTGGTGGCATTATGCTTCATACTTTTTAAGCACATGACATGACACATTTTATGCGAGGCAAAGTGATGTGAATAGTGGCTACCACCACTCCTTGAAAAGGCACGCCATATGACCATAAACAAATGCCGTTTGCTACCTGGGCTGCTAACCAATTTCGCCAACTCCCGCACACATCCTTAAAGAGCCAAAGGAACTCTGTAGAATTTTCAAGCAGCGACTCGCTCCGGCGTCTTTTTATTTACTTTGTAGGCATAACTCGACTCTGTGTTTGTCTTGGTATGTGTGTGTGTGCGTACTGGCAACTCCTGACGCTGTTGACATTGCAAAGCAAATCCGCGTTGCGCATACGCCGCGTTTGCCCAGCAGGCTGGCAGGCTGGCAGCTGCTTTCGACACAAACTTAGCCAAAAGTCATTCAAGGTTTTGTAACTCACGCCAAATCTGAAGGCTAATTTACATGTGTTGCTGTTCATTTTCGACTATTTACACATTGTTGCCAGACGTCTAAGTGGCTTTCACACTGCAAATAAATGAATTAAATTCTGTGAATTGTTTGCATAAAAAATGAAAATATTTGTTTTTAATTTTTATTGATTCACAAATAATCTTAAGAGGTCTCAATTCAAATGTCAAGCAACCTGCCACAGTTACTTTTTATATATTATTTTATATATATGTAAAAAATATTTATAAACTGTTTACGCAAAATTCTTGCTTAAATCTAAGAATAATGACGACTAATTTTGGTATCCCAAATCTTGTTGGCGCTGTACGCTACAAGCTAAACACATTTCCCCCATATAATATACTCTTCAGAAGCTATTCAAATTTCTTTACGGAATTTGCTACGCATGGAAGCAAACGTCTCTAACACCATGGCCAAAGAATATGTTTGCCCGCAAGCTATTCACTCAGTTTTTCTTCTTTTTATGAAACCTTGCAAAAGCTTACTTATGCTTAAACATATCGGATAACATAATAATAAATAAATAATAAATAATTGAACTCTTCAGTAGACTTTGTAGTTCGTTTCTCATCCGCAACAGATTTTCTGCAAAATTTCATCTTTCTATTTTCCTTTTCTATTTCAAATGATCTGAATAAAGAAGTTCTACAATCTTTGATAATTCAATAGCAAAGTCTCTCTCTCTGTATAAAGGGTATTACATAGTCTGCGTGTCAGCAGACGAAAATTCTCTTTGGCTCTTTCTGTGTTTGTCACTGACCTTTGCCGCATATTTTTTCGGCTGATGCTGCTTGTGAATAAGTACATATATATAATATTTTCGTTTGATTTATTTTTAGCACTTGATATAAAAAAGTCATTTAAACGTTTCATTTCAGTTCTGCTTGTTGACGACGAACAGGGAAATCTGTCCAACGCCCAAATAAATAAGCTGTTCCAAGTCTTTTGATTTCGCGCCGCACAGGTATTTTTTTTGTATAATATTTGTGTTTCTGTCGCTCGCGTTTAAATTGGAGAGAGAGAGACATATGGAAATATTGGTTAATTGATATTAATATATGCTGCCTGCGTTACTAAGGGACAGTGCAAAATATTTATTATATTCACAATTGACATATCTGCGCATTGAATTTCTTTTTATGTGTCTTACTTCTCGTCTTCGATACTTCACTGTTCAGCTTCGTTTATAATTTACGAGCGAAAATGTTTTATTTCATGTTTTATGGCAAATAAATTATGCTCGACAACGAATCGGGAAACACAGGACAGGACAGCACACCTAAGCCAGCGATAAGAAGTTGTCGAAAGATGCCAAAATAATTTTCATTTCCCACAATGGACGACTTCCTCCACTACAGCTGCCCAAAGAAAAGCATTAGTGCTTTAACGAAAGCTACCAGACTAGAAAATACCCTGTAGAAGAACAGAAGAATAGCTTAATTACTTTACCTACTTGGATATATTTAATATATTATAAGCTCTGAGCATTTGGCTCGTTAAATTCAATTTATCTATGGAAAGTTAAGTGTCTCATTAATTAAAAAATAAATTTTATATGATATACATATTAAATATATTCAAAAAAATAAGAAGGCACCTACGTTATTATATTTTTAAAAATTATCAATGATTGGGATTAAATAACGACTTTCCTTAACTGACACTTGACTTGGCCCATCATTAATATACCCATTTAAAAACTACTTAAGAATACTGTTCCAGAAATACTCGCAAATATTAGCTATCGATCGAGTGTCGAACTGTTGATACCCTAACCAATATACACATGATAAATTATAATAATATCAATGTGCAACCATTAAAATGCTTCCAATCCGATTTAAGCAAGATATTTCTCTTCAGAGAGTTTTTTTATTTCTCCCTTAACTGTAGTTATAAATAATTAAAAAAATATAAATACCTCAATGACAATACCTTTTTATATGGAAAACTTTTCGGAGTTATTCCATATAACATATATATATGCGAGGATATCAGAGAAACAAATGGAAAACGGATAGGTCTGAATTTATGGATGTTCATTGATTGCTGCCTGGACTCGATCCCAACAAATTTATGTAAATTATTTTTCTTTTGGTGCTCAATGCGACTTTTATGGAGATAGAATGCAGCTGCGACCGGGACAGAGGCCAGGCTGAAGAGCTCGAAGCCGACAGAGCGTAACGAGAGAAAAGCAATGCCGAAATATAAGCGTATATGTAAAATGGATTTGGGGCCGTCCCGTCTTAAGAGCGACTTGCGTGCAGTCAATGAGCCCAGAAGTTGTAGGAAGTGGCTCTTAAAGTGCTCGAAGTGCCAGCCAAGGACTTCCAAATTGAAATTCGTGAGTGTAGCAAAAAAGAACTGAAACACGACCACAACATGTGTGTGTTTTTTCTGCATAATATGCAAGCTTGTATAGAATATATATATATAAGTGGGCCAAGGTAACGAACAAGCATCCTACTTACCATATGTGGGTCATTTATATGCAAAGCATGGTCCACGCTTACGATATGTTCAGTCTAATAAGCTGGGCACGTGTAGTCCTCGCTGCCATGTAGTCTCTGTTGTATTAACGGAAAATTGGCTTCACTCCCAGCTTCAGTTCGTATCAACTATAACAATTGAACCCGCACTTGCTCATTGCTATCATGCAGTATATACCCTGTACTTAACCTGTAGACACATAGAAAAAAAAATTAAAAATCGTTTTTCATACCTTAAGCTGAAAGCAGAGACTCTTCAATCGTGAGTAAGATTTTTACCTGCCTTCTAATGATTATTTTTCAGATAGAGTATCAAATATTTCGACTCTGAAACTCTGACTTTGCTGAAACTGTTGTTAATACAATTACCCCGCTCTTATTGGCAAATTTTATTTTGCATGGCTTT